TTTTTTAACGCATTTTCTTCCGTGCGTAATACATTCAGAATAAAGATTACCAAAAATCAACGCGATTTTTTAAGAACTTCAAATACTTTATACCAATAAAATGTAATGGGCTATAAAACTGCACACACAAAAAAATATAAAACATATGATTAAAAAGTTGAAAATTTAGATGGAAATTTACAGAATTTTTGTAATTGCATACTGATTAAAAAGTTGAAAATTTAGATGCAATTTTGCAGACTTTTTATAATTTTTGCACAAAGTTGGAAATATGAATTTAAATGGTTCTTGTTAGATAATGAACTAAACTTTATTAATAAATATTAAATAAATTGAAGAAAAATAGGAAACATTTAGATTTAAACTCTTATGGCGATATCGTTTCTACAAAAAATGTGGCCTTCTCATCGCCCTCACCTTATTGTTTGTGCGTAGAGGGCAAAAAGAAGATTGCATTTTTCGGTAGAAACGAAACCGGCATTAGAAACGTCGGTGTTAGGCTATTCTTGTAGCTCAAGCAATTGAGAAGAAAAATATTTAAAAAATATGTAAGTATGTACAAACATATAGCTCATTTACTAAAATACTGTCACAACTCGAAAAAGGTGATTTGTTTTTAGTTTTCAATTTGCTTCCAAAACATAGAAAAAATTATGCATATTTTCAAACCAAATTCTGACATAAGTCGTTCTTCCACTCAGCCATCGATATGTACACATCTATGTAAATAAGTATGTACTAAAAATAAAATTCTTGACGAAATGTACAAAAGAAAGAAAATTTATAAAAAAAAAATAAAATCAAGTAATTTTGCTATAATCGCTTGAAGCGGCAGCTGTGTAGCGCAAAACAAATATATGCCAAAGTGTTAAATCGTGAAAGAATTGTCATCTAGTACGAAAATAGCATTCAACATTTGCATCAATTTAAATATCATTGCAATTTCCTGGCCTCTTAAACTCTCTCCTTTCCATTGTCTGCGCAAACTGCATACCTAGTGCACACATTCGACCCTACATAGTAATTTCGCCTGCTAATCTGCTGCAGGAAAGGACCAAATAGTTAAAAGCGAACACACAAAAAAAAAACGCTTTCTCTCGATTTATTCAACGCGATAAGAATGAAATGAAACTCAGGCGTACATACATACATATGTAGGCTATATATGTACTATGTACATATACATATGTAAGCATAGCAACATAGCATAGCTTTGCAAACAGTGTGGCCTATGCGGTCATAAATAGTAAAATAATTAAAGTGGGCTTTCCGAAAAGTTTTTTCAATGCGTAGTGGAAGTTCGGCATAATATTCAAAAAAGTGAGTTTTGTTGCGAAAATTGCGACTCAAATGAAGGCTTAGGAAAGAAAAATTGAAAAGCGTCCAATATTGCCAGATTTCTTTTGTGCCAAAAAAACTGTAAATTTCCGAAAAAGTTGTTATGTCTCTAGGGCCAATTTTTAAATTTCCTATGGGGTAGTTTAAGGAGCTTTTCGGCCGGTTTAAAAAAAAGCAAACAATGTTTCTTTTTTGTTTTTTACCAACACCCTCTAACCTTCAAAACCCGAAGAGAGCTTAAAAAAAATAATTTTATTAAACGTAAATAACATAAAAAGTCATTTAAAATATAATAAGATAAACAGTTTAGATTATACAAAAACCAACTTTATAAACTGCTCTGTCAATTGTTTATACATTCGATTGGCAACCACAAATTTGGTACTATCTGAAGCTTTATTTTTAAAGAAAGCGTTAGTCTTCTCATTTTCATTGTCTCATTTTCGTCGTTTGTGTTTCCGAAAGGGTAGGAGTATGATGTATTTCGGAACGATTTTCCCTCATCCCTTGCCAAATTTGCTGGAACGGTTATCATTGTGAGTAAAATAACTTGAGTCAGCACTTAATCATTATTTTATGATTTATATTTTTATTGCTTAAAACTAATAATTATTATTGAGTTTTATTTTTTCGCTCAACGGAAATAATTGTTATTTGTTTTTTATTTTATTGATTGATTTTTATTTTTTCGCTCAGAGATAATAACTACTATTGAGTATTATTTTTCATTTAAAAATATTGATTATTTATAAAATTTAGGTCTTAAATACGCAACCAAATGAAATTTTGACCTGCAATTTTGGGACTAATTCCTTTTATTAGGGTGTCGCTACCTCGGTGAAGGATACGTAGAAAATCACGCTGTAGAGCTTTTGAGGTTTTTGAATAATCCTTATTCTTAATTGAAAAAAATAAAATAAAACTAAATAATAATTATTATCTTTGAGCGAAAAATTTAAAAATCAAAAAATAATCATTATGTTTGATCGAAAAAAT